GAATGACACAGAAACTAGTCGAGGGTGGATTTTCGGGGACCTATTTCTACAGAAATAACTGGACGCTAGACGGGTCACATGCCATTTCCAAAAAAAAGAAAACTATGCTTTTCTTCCCCTGCGAAAAACCCAACGAAACGGACGGACCTGAGGGGTCTATTCAAGGCAATCTCGGCGGTTTTCTGCAGTTTTCTTCATAGGTACGTGGAGAGTCTCGTGCTCCATATTATGGGCGTTATATCCATCGTGTCCCCCGTGCCTTTGAGATAGAACTGTCTCAGGACAACATTTGCTTGCTAGTCATGCACGATTGGCGGGTGGAGGGAAATGCCAGTGAACCCGCGCGTGAGATTAATGTAGAGCGATGAACGCCAGCAGAAAGAAAGACCAGGAATGGTCCACGAACAGAGAACAATCTGGAGGATCAGCAGCGCTCGGGTCGTATATTTCCTCCTTCCCTCTATGCAGCAAGCAATTTGGTCTCAAGACAACCCCATATCAAAGGTTGTATTAGTGGCTTTTATACCAAAAAAAACGCAAGAAGAGGCCGCAGCTTAATGGTGCCAAAACCGTGCGAATCAATTACTGAATTGAAATTTCAAAAAAGATTCAAAGACGCAAACTCTTACACTGCCTGTTACATGTTGCTCTCACGCCAATCCTACCCGCGTCTATCCCTGCAACATCCAACCCCCCCCCCTTCCCTTCCCTGCTCGACGGCACATTCTGGGGAAAATAGACATGTATTAGTATTTTTGGGCCATAAAAACAGAAATATTGGACAAAATATGTCACGCGATATTACAATGTCCTATATATATGAAAGGAAAGAAAAAAAAACTATTCATAAGAACTATTAGCTATTCATAAGAAGGAGAACGAGCGCAGAGACGAAGAATGGGGTCTATAGAACTTGGGTACAACATCGGACTGAGTATAATGGCAGTGCCGGTGCACCACACCTCACAATCTACCCTTAACTTACCAGATTACCCCGAAATTCTGAAATTTTGGTAGATACTGGGCACGAAGCAAAAAAAATCAAAAAGGCCAAATCTAAAACTCTTTCTCCTTCCAGTGACCAAATTTGAAACCTACTGGATTTTGCACAAATGAGCTGGGGGGGGGCATGAAAAAGGACAGAGGCACGCCAGCTCCGTACTCGTACTAGTGGTAACCCCGTCAACTCCACCCATGTGTCGACACTGTGGATCTCAGCCGCTTCAAATGGGAATGACAGGGACCGAATGAGTCACTTGCTGCCCACCCCCGCTCCTCCTTCTTCCATACCCACACGCGTCTACCTGCACATAGAACATTTGTGAAATCTCGGGAAATTTGTGATCGGGCCAACGGACATTCAATTGGATCCCTTGTAAAATAGTTGACAGTTGCCGCCTGCTAGCTGTCCTCATAAAATTCTGAGCCAAATCCAAAAGAATTCAGCTTACAACTTGCTAACTTCACACAGGAGGATGCGGAGAAAACAGATGGAGCGAAGGTCGCAAAACAACGAGCGTTCTGAGACTCGGAGGAAAAAAGAGCTTGAAAAATGACTGCAGCAGAAGCGCAGCGAAGGACTAAGTGTTACAAAACTTGAAATTTCGTAGTCAACTTGAGACCCGATTCACACTAGACAAAACAGACCTGATCCACTGATGTGTGGGTGCTTGGGTATGTTTCCCACAAGCGCATCCAAAGAGAGGTTCCCACGAGCCACGAAAAAAACTTACGCAGCGGCTTTTTTACAGCAAAGCTTTCAGTTTATGCAACCGTACGGAAATATTTGCAGCAGTTACCATAGAATGCTGACCTATGGGCAAAAATCAGACCCACGCGGGACTCGAAGCCGCATTTGGGAGAGTTCACTATCCATTACGCCACCGGAGCCGCTCCTACCCTTCAGATCAATGGCTTTTGCAGCAGACTCTTTTCCATGTTCATCATAAGCCTACTCAAAAAGGCCACCGATCACAACCTCCTCAGGGACCGTCTAGATGTGCAAGCGAGTGTGGAACGGCTAGGCGCGCTATGAAAAAGTAATGGTTATTTCGATGAGAAATTGCTAAGCCTCTCATTCAAGACGAAATCTCAGCTCCACGGAGGGCCACAAAACCGCGCATCGTTTCGGAATAAATTCGGCTAGAGAGGATCTGCCCTTTTTCCCTTTTTAGTTGCCGCACTTGACCATCTCTATGCGACACCATAGATAACTACTCAGGACGCACCTTTGTCCCCCGTAACATTTCGCTAAATATGACCCCCCCCCCCACCACAACTTTCCCTTCAATGCGACCACCTTTCACGTCCTGTCTTACTTCTCACCAGCTTTTTTCCCAAAAATCTGCCATCTCGGCGCTCGGAGGGGTGGGGAAGTGGACATCTCGACACCCCTTCCTGCAGCCAAATATGACCCCAGTGGTGTCTTATTATTAGGCAACGTATGATGCCCTTGTATCGACCGATTGTAGTCCTCTTAAAAACCATTTACTCACGACGATGCTGATTCGGAAGTTGATGGCCCATGAAAGTGAGAAACTGCAAAATGAGGAGCTGCATTTTCATCGTTAATCCAACGATTTTGAAGTACAATATTCGGCTCGAAGGGGGCACCAGATGGTACTCAGCTAAACCTCCACAGACCACTGTGAAAGTCTGAATTCCCGTAGAGAAGGTCACAGAACTGTCTCGCTGCTTCACAGGAGTTTACAGGTCTGGTCAATGTGAGTCCTGTTAATTAACATGAACTAACAAAAAATACTAGCGGAAATGCACAATGCCCCCTCTGAGCTGAACAGCGCCCGATTAGGAGACAGTTATCCTTAATAAGAGACTGAAAGCCTGAAGCAACAATAGATAGAAGAACGCAGAACCCATGAATTATCACAGAGGACCAAAATATTGCAAAACAAAGGAGTAAGTGTTGTCATTGACGAATGGCACGTTTTTGCACGGAACGTTCCGAAGCTCGGAAACTAATTCGCGATCCCCGGGACGCCTTCGATGAGAACGGCGCCGCTAAAACGAAACTGAAGGTGGGAGCCCAGGTGGGCGGAGCCTCGGCAAAGGTCGCTGTGCACGGGCGGAGGGAGGGGGGGGGAGATACGAGAACAGGGAAAAGGGCAAAAAGAATGAATTATTAAATAGTTGCAGGAGATGGAGATAATAAGGTTAGCACCTGGTCATTTCTCATTGTTAGATCAAAGGAAGCAATGAAGAATAGGGATAGTGGTGTAACAGATTTCTGGGTGCTAATAACCTTCGGGGAGGGGGGGGGGCACATCTTCAACATTCAAGGGTTCGCCTCAGAGATAACGGTGGAGGCGGAAGGACAGGGTCGGGTTAGACGACTCTTCCTTCTGCACAGTCTGCCTGAGGATGGGAGACATCCCTTCAAAGTTGTGCGTCCAACCAATTTTGCCTCCCCCTTGAATAAATAAAAAAATAGACAAAAACCAAAATGTGGTACCTGAATAGGATGCATTTCAATTCAATTTTGACATGCTATGTTCCAATTAAATTGTAAAAAACTATAAAACCCGGCAAATTTCAG